CCAGGGCTTCACATGTGCTAGGCAAGCTCTCTACCACTGAGCCATAACCCTAGCACCATCCTCAGCCCCTTTTTATTTTTATTTTGAGGCAGGGTTTCACACAGTTGCTAAGACTGGCCTCAGACTTGTGATCTTCCTGTTTCAGCCTCCTGAATTATACACATGCATCCCTGAGCCTGGCTCAGGCAATATTTTTTTTCTTTTTGCTGGGGCTGAGGGTTTCTGGGCATTGAACCCAGGGCCTCTGACATGCTAGGCAATTGCTCTGCCATCGAGCTACATCTCCAGTCCTTGTTTTTGTTATCATTTTATTTTGAGACATACTGAGCTGCCTACATTGGCCTCAAACTTGAGATCCTCCTGCCTCAGCATCCTAAGTAGCTGGTATTACAGGTGTGCACCACTACACCCAGCATTTACTAGGCAATCTTAAAAGTACCTACTTTATTTCACAGATAGTTAAGTTCCATATAAAGTAAATAGTCTTATTCCTTAACAAGCACCCTGAGCTGTGGTTTGAATATGTCTCCCAAAAGTCATGTATTGGAAACTTCAATCTCTGAAGTCATGGTATTTACAGATGGGCCCTTTGGGATTAATTAGGATTAAATAACATGAGTGTGAGGCACCCATGATGGCATAGGTGGTTTTATAAGAAGAGGAAGAGAGACCCAAGCCAGCATGCTTGCCCTGTCTCACCATGTGCTGCCCTCCACCATGTTACCATGCAGCACAAGGCCCTCACCAGATGCCGAGCAGATGCCAGTTCCATTTCTCAACTTTCCAGCCTCCAGAACTATAAGAAATAAACTTATTTTCCTATACCTAATCTTAGGAATTCAATGACAACATCAGAATACAAACTAAGATATCTTGAACATGACAATTTAATTCCTTCTTATCTAAGAAAGTAACTCCTAAAAGCAATACAAACATTAATTTTTACTCCCTGTTCATTTCAGGGTGGTCTTACAAAGGAAATGTAGCCAGGCATGGTGGCTTACACCTGCAACCCCAATGACTTCAGAGCCTGATCACAAGTTCGAGCCCAGTCTTAGCAATTCAGGGAGATCCTGTCTCAAAATGAAAGAGAAAAAGAACTGGGGATATAGCTCAGTGGTAGATCCCTGCTGGGTTCAATCCCCAGTATCATAACATAAAGATAGATAGATAGATAGATAGATAGATAGATAGATAGATAGATAATCATATTATGAAAGGATGTTCTTGAAAACATCTCCTGATTAGCAGGGCAGTAGAGAAAATAAAGAAGATGACTCATCTATTAAAGGATCTCTGGCACCTTGAAGTTTCCCATTCTTTCTGTTCTCTCCTCTTTCCCATCCGCTCTCCCTTAGTATATGGGGAGACCATAGTCAAGATAAAAAAGTATCCTGATGCCTTGGCCCAGTGGGACAGCTCCCATTTTGTCCATGGTCTCCTCGAAAACTGCTGTTTAAAATAATTTTTTAAAGTCTATTAAAAAAAAGAGTAGGGGGCATAGCTGGATGCAGTGGCACATGCCTATAATACCAGTGGTTTGGGAGGCTGAGGCAGGAAGATCACAAGTTCAAAGCCAGCCTCAGCAACTTAGCAAAGACTCTTAGCAACTTATCAAGACCCTGTCTCTAAATAAAAAATGAAAAAATAACTGGCAGGGCATGTGGCTCAATGTTTAAGTACCCCTGGGTTCAATCTCTGATAACAAACAAACAAACAAAAAGGATAAAAGCATAAAAAAATTTGGGTATAGTAAAATATGAAATCACAATTCCAAAATATAGGGATTTGAAGAGCTAAACGTTACAATGGAAGAGTCACTTGCTGAATATTATTGACATAAATAACTGGAAACAGGGGAATATGTAACTTCTCTTGGGAATACCTTCACAAGTCAAATATATTAGAAACCAATCTCTAAGGGGAAATTTCACACATAAGGGATCCGGAGTGAAGGTCGGGGGAGGGGAAACTAGGCCCTTAGAAAAG